CAACGAGGTAGCTGATAACTCCTGCTTTCAGATATATACAAGGTACCACAGTGAGCTCCTTGCCGAGCTGCTAATCTCTTTCTACTCCTGTTAGCTCATCCTAATGTTCGGGAAACTCTTTTGTTCAGAATGCCACCTAGGATTCTGGGCCTCCTTAATTAAACACATTAACTCTAGGTTTAGTTGCAAGTGAAAAATAATTTGCTTTTCTTAAGGTCAAAGTCTGTTTATCTCTTTTGTAAAAGAAGCTCCAGGATAGGCAATCTAGGCTGCTAGTGTGTCCTTTCAAGTCTCCAGTGTCTTAGCTTCTTTCTGTCTTGCTGCTCATCAGTTCTGTTCCCCATAGTTCAAAAGGCTTCTTGAATTCCTGCCCTCATGTCCACGTTCCTGTCAACAGAAAAGAAGATAGAAGAGGGGTCTGCACATAACACTTTTGCTTGCATGTGTTCAGCACTTAGTCACATGGCTACATCAAGCTGCCAGGGAGACTGGGAAATACGCTTTTTATTCTGAGCAGCTATATCTTAGCTGAAAATTAGAGGTTCTAGTCATAAGGAAGAAGGAAAGAGCAAAAACAGATGTAGACAACTAGTTGTTTCCTCCTTTTTTCTCTTTGATCTAACAATTGCTAAATAGAAAGTTTCATGGCCCTTTATTTCTAATACTATACCTGATTGGTCCTTTCCACCAACCAAATATAGGAGGTGATACTACCTCCATTCTTTAGATAAGAAACTGAGATTCAGAAATTAGCCTTTCTATTAAACCAAGGTCATAATTATAATAATAATTATTTTGAACATTTCATGTGCATATGGTCATTAACTTTGGTTCTCCTGAAACCAGACAACCAATTTGACTATACTGTGTATCTGCAGGTGAGGAAACGTTGGCATATTTGTCCACAAGCTGCTGAAGACGAATGGGTGGCCATCGACTCAGTTTGTGATTCTACACTGCCCCAGACGTGCATGTATATGTTTTTTTTTTGGACCTTTCTTAGTTTCCTGCCGTGGCTGTAACAAGTAGGCATATATTTAGGTCCCAGAGACTTCCCCCTTCATGATCTCACGGGTTTGTCGGTCCAAAGTCCTGTGGGCCTGGATGTGGTCCTCCGCCCCAGGTCGTGCACATCTGAAATCAGTGGATCTGTAATCTAGGAACAAGTCCTTATTTTAAGATTAATTGATTAATGACCTTAATTCCACCTGCAAAATCTCCTTTGCCATGGAGTTTAATATGTTCACAGGTTCGGGGGATTTGGGTGTGGACAATTTTGGAGGCAGCTATTATTCGATCTCCTGTAGACTGTGGCTCATTATGATAACCCTTCTGCATTGCAGCCAGGGACAATATGTGCTACAGAGAGGAAACAAGTGTCACCAAACAACATGGACTGATCCTATTGCATTTTATGACTTCATTTTGGAGATATGGTGGTCATGATCCAGCAAATTGACTTCATGACCCACAGATTTCAAAAACACTGAAAAATCTTCTCCATTTCTATTGCTGTTTTCATAATCTGATCATCATCTTCTCTTGTCTGTATTATTATGGAGGCCTCCCAATGGCTGTGCAAGATTCTCAGTTCTCCCCTCCCAACACCTACCAACCTCTTTACCCAGTGCCTTTCCCACATTTATTCTGCCTCTTACCAGATGTCTGCATTCATGAAACTAAGCTGAAAGTGCTGGGTGGCACTCTTTGAAATAGCCGTGGAGTGCCCCAAAGCAACGGGAAAGACTGTACCTTTACAGGTGGCACATTGGTATAACTGTTATCCATAGTTAATGCCTAAAACTGAAGTCCTGAGAAGGACTGGGAAATCCTACCCAGGACAGGTGGAAAGCCACAGGCATAGATTAGTGATGTCTACTCTGGATAGAGGTGGAGAGCTAGATGACACTGTGCTAGGCATTTGCTGTCTTTGGCCTTAGTGGATGTTGTCACAAGTGACCCTCCAGTGATCAGAAAAGTATTCCTGAAAGGACAAAATCAGAAGCCAGAAAAATCAAGCCGGAATGGAATGAAATTTCAAGAATAGAAGGGAAGAGTCTCCTCTGTGTGGAGAAGAAGATAAACAAGATATAGTAATTTGTAGGGGGCTAAGGAGAAATAATGGTTTTTTGTCACTTGTGTCTGACAGATACAAATCACTTTTTTGAACTAAAATAATTTTTAGCTCACTAAAGCCTATTACTGCATTTACAACTGTCTCTGGCATCAAAAAACTGTACTTCATCGTCTTGGGAGGTCTTTGTATTTTCTTTGGTTGTTTCTCTGTTTTCTCATAGCAGAGGTCAGAAGCTCAGATGCCTACAGGGAAGGTACTTGGTGGTGAGAAGGTCTAGAGTCAGGCTGCTTGGGTTCAAAGCCCAGCTCCATCACTCATAATGATCTTGCTTTTGAGCAAGTTGCTTAATCTTGGAAGGTCTCCATTTGCCTCTGTGTGATGTTGGCATCTGTGGGCACCAGAAACTGGGTTGGGGCAGCTTTGCTGTGTAATGCCTATGGATAGTACCTCCTCCTTTGTAGGGTCTTCAGAAGGAATAAGAAAGGCACTGTGTGAAGAACATGCCAGTGATATGTCAGTGAGAAGCAGGAGTAGTTATTGCTTGGTCAGAATCAAAGTACTGGGTTGTGTTCTCATTGCTTAGCCATGTTTGAACTCTGGTAAATGTTTCTTTCCTCCAAGAGGACATCAGATGCCAGCTTAATTTGCTGTTCCTCTCAGTGTCTAAGATTGCACCGAATTGCAGTGACATTCTATCCTTTCACCCTTACCCCAGGCTCCTCTCTCTGAAGTGACCAGGTGGATCTTTATAACACTTTTGCTGGACAATGTCAACTGCTGGTCAGACTCCAGGGAGTGACCTACAGGGATCTGTATGGTTGGGTTTCCCTCCATCCATTCCTGACACTGACATCTACCATACCCTCTTCTAAGAAATTCTCCTTGAAGTTCCTTAGCTCTGTCAAATATAGTCTTGCTTTAGCCTTTGCACTATGCTTGCACCTTCTAGAATGTTCTTCTCATAGATACCCTCTATGAGAGTATATTGTGTCTTCAATTCATTCAGGACTTTGCTTAAGTACCACCTTCAGGGGTCTCCCCTCCACTTTATCTAAATAGAACCTCTTGACCTGCCATCACTCTGTTCTCTTACTCTCTGTTCTCTTCTAAAACTTGTGTCATATCTTCACATGTTGGTTTTGTTTGACTATTACTTTGTGGATGTGTCTGCCCATTTAGAATGAATGCTCCATTAGAGGAAGGATTTAAGTGGTCTTGTTCTCAGCTGTCTCCACTGTGCTTGAAACTCTGCATAGTAGGACATCAGTAATATTTATGGAATGAATGGACAAAATGGATTTAAAAGAGGACGATGTGCCAACCATTGTTTTAGTCTCCAGTATATATATAAACTGAACAAAACTAGACATGGTCCCATTATTTTGGATTTTTTTGGCTATTAAGCAAGAGATACAGACAAGCATATAATTTCCCAAGTACATGAAGGACAATATAATAAATGATTGAGAGAGGATTCTCAGGATATTACAGAGGGCTCATTTACTCTAGGGCCTTCCAGAGGAAGGGATACTATAGTGGTTGGAATTCTCTAGAGGAACAGAACTGACAAAATGTATATATAATTGTAGAAGAGGATTGGGTAACATGATCAGAGGCAGGATAGTCCACAATGATTTTCTGCATGCTGGAGAGCCAGAGAGACCAGTAGCTGCCCAGCCTCAGGATCTAAGAGGATGAAATGATATAGCCACAGTCAGAGAGTGAAAGACTGGAAGCTCCCTGAAGAGTTGCTGGTGTGAGACCACACTGAAAGGCTAGGGAGGATAGAATCTCATTGCCTGCAGGTGATGCAACAACAAAGGACCACCTGACCAAGCAGAATCGAGCTTGTGTGACTGCCCGGCTTACTTTTCTTCTGCTTTTGTTCCCTCTGGGCTCATAGCTATTGGGACAGCGCTTCTCACACTTAGAGTAGGTCTCTCCTCCTTATAGACACACCCAACCTGGAAGTGAGCTTTACTAATTCCCCAGGCCTATCTCAACTGGGTCATGGACACCACAGATCTTTAATCACAACTGGAAGAATCAATAGGACTTGAGCTGAATAAAGGAGGGTAGCAGAGAGGGTTTTTCAGACTGGACTGGATATGTCCCAATTACTGAAGACTTTTCTGACTGAGGGAACCCTGGGGGCTACTTGATAAATTCTAGCAGGAACCCTGCATGGGCTCCAACACCTCCCTGTGGAACAGATTCAGGGGTATGATTTCCTTGAAGGGAAATCTCTTTGAGTCAGTAGTTGAGTGTGAATGTGGATATTGTCTTCATTTTCTGAGGGGATTTAGGGGTCTGATGAGGATGAAGGGCCAAGGCCACGCAGCCATCTATTACTGTCATAACCATAGGAGTTTCTCAGAAGGCTCGAGGACATGATGGTGTGTGACCATGACTAAGGCTAGTCCAATTTAGGTGTGGTGGTTTCCTTCTTGTCCTCTCTCTTGGGTCACCTGCTATGAGGGAAGCCAGCCGCTGCATTGTAGGGACGCTCAAGTTACCCTTGGAGAGGCCCACGAAGGAAGGAGCAGAGGCCTCCTCTAGTATCAAGTTGCATGTGAGTGAATGGTTTTAGAGATGATCCTCTTGTCCCAGTATATCCTTCACATGGCTATAGCCTGAGCTGACCTCTTAGATGTAGCTGCATGACATACCCCAAGCCAGAGCCACCAGGGTTGAATTTCTGATCCACATAAACTGCAAGATAGTAAATACTTGCTATAAGCTGCTAAGTTTCAGGGTTATTTGACACAGAAGAAAAGATAACCAATCCATAATTACATTCCTGTTATTGTTATTTCTCTTCTATCTCAGCACCAGAACATCTTGGTGTTTTGGATTAATCCCACTAAATAGGGACAGAAATGGGGAAAGGGCTTCTGAACAGTTTTATGATACTGACATTGGCCCTGTGTGTTCATTTCTATTGCCTGAATCGTCGCCACTGCTCAGCAGCCCTGTATCCCGGGCATCTCACTGTGTCGTCGTATTGTATCCCCTTATCATCCCTTGTCAGTTGCTATCATTTCCCCCTGTTTGAAAGTAAGAAAATAGGTTCAGCAATATAAGTGTGTTAGCTTTCCATCATTATGATGAAATACCTGAGACAACTTAGAAAAGGTTTATTTTGGTTCACAGACTTGGAGGTCCCAGTCCATGGTCATTTGGCCTCATTGTTTTGGGTCTTTTGAGGCAACACATCATGGCAGGAGCTGGTAATGAGGCAAAACTGGTTACATCATAAACCAGTGAGTAGAGAGAGGAAGATGTCAGGGTCCCCTAATCCTTGTCAAGGGACATACCTCCAAAGACCTAAGGATCTCCCACTAGGCCCCACCTCCTAAAGGTTCCACCACCATCCAAGATCTCTATTCTGGGACCCAGCCTTTAATACATGGGCCTTTAGGGGATAACCAATATCCAAGGTATAGCAATAAGCTTACAAGGATCGAAGTAAGGTCACACGACTCATCTAGGCAAAGCTGTTCTCTTTCTAACTACCCTTTTAACCCTACTCTGGGGAGCCATCTGGAGATGGGGGAGAGAGAGGCAAGGGTGGGAGAGGTATGAGTGGTGAGGGTGTAACTCCTGCTTTCCCCAATTTAATGTGCATGCAAATCAGCAGATCAGGCCTGGGGCCTGGGATCTGCATGCATAAAAGTCCCCAGGAGGCAGTGTTCCCCAGCCTGACTCAAGATCATACTTTGGTGAGCACTGAGGTAGGAGACTTGAGATGTGATACAACACTACCAAGGGGACTCTCTCTGGCCCCAAGTCCCTCTTTGAAAGCTTTGGAGATCAGATTTCTTTGAGCAGTAAGTGCTGACAAAGCTGTAAAAGGACTGGCACTAGGGAGTTTTGCCTCATTTTGGAAGCAGTTAGCCAACTAATCTGGTTTAATCATCACAGAATGCAAACAGAAAGAAGGCACACAGCCCTTGTATTTCAGCCTGCCAGACCTCTGGACTCTGAGCTTTCGCTGATACTACAGGAAGGATTTATATGTGGAATAAATATTCTTAAATCTTTATAAGGTGCCTAAAATATTTATGGTTGTTTTAGTTTGGTTTGCATGCCATATTGCTCTCTTACATTAAGCAGTTTTTACACCATCAAGCTTTCCCATTAATCATTTCGGCCTGTTCCCAGCTATCTTAACCGAGGGGAGATCTATTACACTCAGCGACTGAAGCCAAATGATCTCATTTCTCCTTTGGCTGTTTCATCGAATGGTTCATAAACCTATGGCTATTATTGTATTAGGAAGACACATTGTGGTTCTCTTGTGTCATGTTGACATGTTTACGTTTCTTTTTCTTAAGAGAAATCATGATTAAAATGGAATATTGTTTCACAGAGGACATTTTATAACAATTTTGGCGTGATGAAATTAAAAAAGGGGAACGAACATCCAATCTCCAGCAAATGCTGAATTGGTCGCATCAATGTCACTGGAAGATTAAAGCCATCTTGCTCTTCTTTCCTTTGTACATGGAATGATTTTACAGAATTGTTAAAAAAAATACCAACATTTGTTTAGGGAGAATCATTCTGGGAAGGCAGAAAGTTGTGATGCTGCTTTTTCAGAGGGGATTTAGCAGCATTAGATGGGCATCGCTGCCCTGTCAACCAAGTGTGTCCATATTCTGGATGGTTCAGAGTCCAATTTACCTCTTGTGACTTTGATCTCACACTAGGCAATACCTTAAGTCTTAAGATGACTGATACTATTTTGAATTATGGAAAAGGATGGAGAAAGAGCAAAACTTGCCTCAAATAAATATTGGCTTTCATTCATTTCTGCATGACGGGTGTATTGTGTCGCGTGTTCTTTTTCGGGGGAGAAGGAGAAATGGACATAATCACATTTATATTTAACCCATGTTTACACTTCCTTATAGTGGAAACTGAGGTTAAACCACCACCACAAATACAGGTTGGCCTCCCTACCTCCTACCCTTCCTCATTTGCTTTCTTCCTCCCGCTCTGTGCTGGGGATAGAACCAGGGCTGCATGTATGCCAGGCAAACACTCTATGGCTAAGCTCCAGTCACCATCTAACTTCCTTAGTTATGGATAGTTCAGCTGTTAGGAGAAAGCAAATGTTTAGTCTATTTTTATTACAAAAATTATCTTCATTTTTACAGTTTACCTTTGATTCTGGGAAATGTTTAAGGTGATAATGCTTCTGGAAGGAAATTCTCTAAGAAGAGAAAATGTAGAGAAAAATCTTAGTGAGTTTGGAAGTCAATTTTGCAAACAATGGGTATCTTTCATTGTCATGACTGGAAGAATATGTTATTTGCACAGGTGTCCTGATGGTAGTTTTGTGTGAATCTCACATAGCTTTTGGCTGTCATTTTGCATTTTTGCAGAGTGGTACAAACCACCCGTGTAACTCTCTACCATGTAAACCTGATTAATTTGCTATGGTATAAAAAAAATACACATTAGCAATTATGGAGAGAAACTTGAATGTAATCAAAATGAGTTTTTGTAATCAAATCAAGTGAAGTGGTCTGAGTCACAAACCCTGGGGCCTCTCCCATCCTTCCAGTGTCAGGACCACTTTTGTGAGAGCAAGATGTAAGAGTCTGTGTTTCTGGTTTCTTGTTTTTCTTGCACTTTCAATCTTGTTCATCATCCCTGCCGCAAAAGTAACCTGGTAAGGAGAACAGACTAGAATTCACCATCGCCAACCAGAATCCAAAACTGAGCCTTAAGTTTTGCTTCGCAGGTTGATAGGCCCCAACCCGGACCATTAAAAATGCGTGACTGCAGATGGCTGTCTGCAACAAAGTCACAGCTGTTCATCCCAATACTATTTGCACGCGCAGATCCTCAGTTGAGGTATCTCAAGCTTTAAGTTAAAAGGCACCTTGGGGGTGCATCGTTTTGATATAATCACCCCTTACTCTGCCCCTTCTTGCTCCACTTTTCCAGTATTATGAGGCTTGAAACTGGGCCAGGCTGATCCCACAGGGCCGTGATTATTTTGTGATAACAGCACTCCCTGGAGTGGTCTTATTGCCATTATAAAAAGTGTTTATTGTGCAGAAAGCCTGTATTTTTGGTGCGGGCAGTGAAGGCCACTGAGAGGGAAGTGCAGCTGAGGTTATGATTCACATTAATTAATCTCATGCTTTCGACGTCTCATTAGCCAATTGGAGTGATCTTGAAAAGGAAGGAGAAAAGCAGCGCACACTCGGTGGGGGCCTCTGTGCCTGCTGCTGCGCCAGGCTGCTAACTTCTCCCAAGTTCTGCCTGCTCCATGTCAAGGGAGGACGGCTCCCTGCAAACCCTCCCCTCTGGCAAGTGCATGTGCGGGTCTGGTTGGCCCTCGCAAGGTTTTCTAAGCCTTAGTCGATTGATCATTTTCCTTCTCTGAGAGGAGACTGTAGCTAAACGATGGGGGCAGGCGAAAATCAAGCTGAGACTACCGGGAATTTGAGGACATTTACAGGCCTAGGCTGGGAACTGTGGCATTTTACACGCATTTCGCTCACTCCAGAGGGTCCTTCACAGGGCCATGGTTAAGTGAGCACCCCCCCATCTGCCCGCCAGCTCCTGGGTGGAGATCTTGGCTTGGCTGCAGAAAGGAGCCCACTCTCCCTGTCCAGCACAGACAGCAGACCTCGTGGTGAGTCTTGCCTGGTGAGACAGCAGGTGCTGCCCCACACACCATGGAGGGTGCAGCTGGGAGAGATCAGCAAGGAGGGGTGAGGCAGGTGACAGAAATAGCTAGGAAAACCTAGTGAGGCCTATCTCTAAAATACAGCCTTTTATGCTTGCTTCTGGGGAACAATTCTTTCTTGTGGATATGTGATAATAGGGTTACTAGAGCCTGTTTATTGAACATCTATTATATGCCAGGCATTGTGCTGGTTGTGAAAGTTTCCCAGGTAGAGGCCTTGACAAAGCATTAGGGTCCAAGATTTTTCTTCATCTGTTGTGTGTCATGGCTTCTTTAGCCCTGTAATGAAAACTTAGTCTCCTTTCTTAAAACACTATTTACAGCCAAGGGTACACCTGTAATCCCAGCACTCAGGGAGGCTGAGACAGGAGGATCAAAGTTCATGCCCAGCCTGGGCAATTTAATGACTTAGACCTTGTCTCAAAATTAAAAAAAAAAAAGGCTGGGGCTATAATTTGGCCCAAAAAACCTTGGGTTCAATCCACAGCACTAAAAATCCCCCACCGTTTACAATTCATAACTGTACTCATTATGCTGTAGAGTAGATGTCCAGAACTTACTTGTCGTATAGCTGAAAGTTTGTATCCTCTGACCAACATCTCCCAATTGCCCTCCACTCTAGTGACCACTTTCCTACCACGTCTTTATGAGTTCAACATTTTTAGATACCACATAGAAGTGAGGCTTATGGTTAATAATAATGCATGCTTGGAATTTGCTGAGAGTAGGTCTCACAAAATACCGTGAGCTGATGGATATGCTAATGAGCTTATGTACTAATCACTTCCCAGTGTGTATCAAAACACTGCATTATTTTAATATAATCAGGCATCGCTTAAGAATGGGCACAGTGTGAGGAATGCCTCATCGGGTGATTCCCTCCACACGTGAGTACTGTGGGGCACTGATGGGGGCAGAGTGGGAGGCCACTACCCAGCAGGCATCCAGTGGCATGTATTGCTTCTGGGGTGTGAGTCTGCACCCAGGCCGTGTTGTTGAGTACTGTCAGCACATGTAGCACAATCAGACACGTTGGTGTATCTATACAGAGAAACTTTAGTAAAAATACAGTATCAGGGATACTCTGGGGCACCTGCCAGGCATGGAGCGTGCAGAACCAAAGTCACTCAGGCTGAGGCAGCGAGTAAGTGGGAAATGAGCCTGAGGTTCTGGGACTTTACTGCTCACTACTGTAGACTTTATAAGGACTGCACACTTATGCTGAATTTCTTTAAAAGCTCTAATAATAAACCTCAATAACAAACCTCAGCTTATTGCATCTTTTTACTCTGAAATTTGAACTTTCTCTTTTATAATAGCACTTTCCTAAAGATTTACACATTGTGTAGCTATATGAAAATGTTTTTCACATGTTTATTTTAGAAGCTTTTTTATTATTTTTCTTTTTTACTTTATAAACTTTTCCTCTTGAGATCCACTCACATTAGCCTAGGTCTTTGCAGAGACAGGATCACCAACCTCACTGTCTTCCTCCGCATCCTGTCCCCCTGGAAGGGATTGAGGGCAGTCATGTGCATGGAGCTGTCACCTCTTATGATGACAAGGCTGCCTTCTGCAGTGCTCCTGAAGGATCTGCCTGGAGCTGTTTTACAGTTAACTTTTAAAAATATATAAGTAGAAGGAGTATACTGGAAAATAACCATAACAGTATAGTGAAAACATAAATGCTACCATATTGTTATTATCACAGTCAAGTGTTAGGTACTCCATACAACTGCATGTGCTTTACTTTTGTACCCAAACAGTTCCCAAAGCTGGTTTATTTCGGCTCACCACAGACCATGAGTCATGTCTTGGGCTGGGACCTTATGGTCGTTGTGGTGTCAGCAGGTAACAGGAATTTTTTAGCTCCGTTATGATCTTGTGGGACCACCATCATATATGTAACCTTTCATTGACCAAAACATTGCTCAATGCATGACGGTATATATAGCTTTCATTCATCCATTATATCTCAAAGCTCAAAAAAGTTTATTAACATAGAACCACAAAGGAAACTAATTACATTGACAGTTATCAAAATATTTTTAAAAAAATCTAATATAGTAGTCAAGGTGGTTCTTCATTTAACACATTTAATAATCACAGCTAATGTTTGATCTAATAGCTAATCTCAAATTAGGAATTTGTATAAATAATGTATTTATGGTATACTTATAAGTTTAAGGTGGTTTGAAATTTTCAATTTCTTATTAATGGCAAAATCACAAGCATCTGTTTCCTTTCTAGTTGAAGGACATACTCACTTTCTGTTAGATGTCGGCAAAAGGGAGGTGTAGTGTATTTACCGCCTATGTTAAGAGACCCCTGAATGTTTTCCTTCAGACCCAGATTAGAGACTGTGGTCAAGGGGAGCAGCAGATGTCATCTGCTCAGGCTCCTGTGATGTGGATGGTGAGAGAACAGATGGGGAGATTCTGGGGCTCAGAAAACATTCCACAAAGAAATGACATTCGGGCAGCTCCCAAGGGATAAAATGGGGACAAGATATTAGGAAGCAGCATGGAAGGTTTGGGTTCATCTTCAAGAATGTCCTTCCTTTCTCAGTATTATAGCTTCTTGGCCTGTCTCCCCCAGCACAGTGACACTCCCGGGTACGCCTGGAGGTCCTCCGCTCAGGTGCCGCCCCTCCCTGGCAAGGCATCAAAACACATGGAGAAAACCTAGGTGCATATCGCTAAAGGAAAGAAGCCCGTCTGGTGAGGCTGCGCACTGAGGGCCACTGTAGGGCTCAGAGTCCTCCGGAAGTGCCTAAAGCTCAGTGTCATACTTGGTTTTTGTAGCGCATTCTGTCTTACTCATTGTTCTATAAATGACCACACAGAGATTATTCCAGGAATATGAAGATAGTTCAGTATCAAGAAGTCATTAAGAGAAAATCTATGAACATATTGATAGTGTTTAACAGATATTAACAATTTCAGTAAGTATTTCTAATGAAAATAGTAACTAAAATAAAACTAATCTACTTCCCCTCCAAATAGACCTAGAATTCTTTATTTATTTTTTAGCTTTATGTTTTGGATTTTTTTTTTGAAAGTACTGGGGATCAAACTCAGGACCTTGTGCTTGTGAGGCAGGTGTAGTACCCCTGCACTAAATCCCCAGCCCTGTTTTGGAATAATTTTGAGCTGGGAAAAAGTATCAAGAATTCATTGCCTTGTGTGCTATTATCCCCAAAGGCAAATCTATGGAGATGGTAAAAAGATTGGTAATTGCCACGGGGTGTACGTCAGGTGGAGCTTGGAGGAGTTTTAGGTTAGGAAAACTACTCTCCCTGATGACGTACTAGTTGCTATGCATCATCATACATTGGTCCAAGTCCACAGAAGGAGCCTCATACATCAGTGGTCCTCAGCCTTTTTGACTCCAGGGATGATTTTCATGGAAGAGAATTCTTCCATGGACAGGATGGGTGGGGAGAGGGTTCAAATGTGCATATGGCCGAGATCTCTCGGATGCATGGTCCATAGTAGGATTCACATTCCTATGAGAATCTAATGCTGCTGCTGATCTGACAGGAGGCAGAGCTCAAGTCATAGTGCAAGTGAGGGGGAGCAGTGGGGGTACAGGTGCCACTTTGTGTACTCTCCCACTGCTCACCTCCTGCTGCACAGCCAGGTTCCTAACAGGGACCCCTGATGGGGGGTAGAATGTGATAATGTAGGTTTGTCTACAACAACAATGTGCCCCTGTGAGGGGCTATTGACAGGGGGAAGAGGCTGTGCTTACTGAAACTTTTTGTATTTTCAGCTCCATTTTGCTGAGAATAGCATCATGGGTTCAAAACAAGTCTATTTAAATAGCCACAGCTTTTTAAAGAAAAATGCAGAATCTGTCCTGGATTACATGAGAGTAAGGAGACCTGACAGGTAATGGAACATTGATCCTGAGTTGGATTCTAGACCAGAAAAAGGATACTAATGGGACAATTAGCAAAGGTCCGTAGTCTCACATCAGTGTTAATTTCCCGACCTTGTTAAGAGCACAAAGGTTAAAAACTACATGTAAGAGATAAGTATTTGGAGAATCTGGGTATAAGGTATATGTAAATTCTTTGTACTTTTCCCCCCAGCTTTTACAAGTTCAAAGTTATTCCAAAACACCAAGGTAAAAGATTAAAAAATAAAGAATGCTGAGCCTATTTTGAGGAAAGTAAGTTATTTTTATTTTAGTTACTGTTTTTATTAGGTATACTTGCCGAAATAATCAGTATATCTGTTACATGATAATCAATGTGATTATATATTTTAAAGACTTCTTGATGTTGAACAATCTTCATATTCCTGGAATCATTCCTATCTGGTCATTTGATAAGGAGTAATAAAAATATGCTATGAAAACCAAATGTGGATATTGAGTTCCTAGTATTGTTGTCTCTGGGCCAACCTCTAGTAGAAGAAATGACAAATGTCACCAAAGTTTTGAGGACCTGTTTATGTTAGTTTGAGGCTTTTCTGAAAGAAGAGAGTTAAAAAGGAAGTAACATCTCTGAGGGTGTTTTAATTCCTCGTTATTTGATATCCAGTGCAGAAGAACCATCTTCCCCACAGTGGTGAGTGGTGTATGAGACCACCCACCTTGTCCTGCAAAGGAAATGAGATGGAGAAGCTGTTTCCAGGATTAAAGAATAATCTCATTTCACAAAATGTAGCCTCGTGCTTTGTGTCAGCCAACTGACCCCCCCTAAATGTTGCTAGGCCTTTCCCCATTTCATCCCTTCAATCCAATTGCTCTCTCTTGCACTTGATTTGGGTTGTCTCGACTGGCTGCTTAGCATGGCCAGATGGGACCTCACTCGCCAGGCAGTCCTTTGCCTTTGTCCAGGGCCTTCTGTGTCCACAGATCAAGCTGGACTCCAGCGCATAGTGGTCCCACAGGTGCCACGGATCACCTGCCAGGTCCCCTAGGAGTCATTTGCTGAGAAAACAGCATGTTGGTCATTTATGGACATGTTCCCTTAGCTTCATCGCCACAATCTCTCATACTTCCCCACTGCTTTCCTGGGGTTAAGCAAGGAATTCTGTTGGGCTCATAGCAGAATTCCTGGGCTTAGGGTGACATGTAGGACATAGAGGATTATTCTGTGTTGTGGGGGGCTGCTCTATGCATTGCAGGATGTTAGCAGCATTCTTGGCCGCTGTCCTCTCAATACCAACAGTGCCTCCTGCTTACTCCACACTTCTCCACTGTGTGACATCATGACGTCCCCAGACATTGCCAAATGTTCCCATTGTGTGTGTGTGTGTGTGTGTGTGTGTGTGTGTGTGTGTGTCAGGGGGATCCACTTTGTTCATTCCCTACTGAGAATCACTGCCCAAAATTATGACACATCTTGGTCTGTTCTTGGACAGAGACAGCCAGGCACTAGGGCTTAGCACATGATCTCCTCATTTACCTACTTCCCACCCCACCCATGACATCGCTCATTCCCGAGAGGGCAGGGCTGGTGAGGTGACATGGTCTTCTCTGCTGAGCCCTGAGGTCCCCGTGCCAGTACACACCACAGCCGCTGGCCGATGGTAACTCCGTGTTTGTGGATGAGTGACTTTGACAAGCAGTGTGAGCCATTTTCAGTACATTTTCTCAAGGTATAGCTGACGTGTAAGAAGAAATGCAGAATGGAGTGTGGGATGGATAATAGAGCAAGAAGCAGCTCATCCAGGAGGCTGAAAATGAGCCAGTGGGGATTCAGGCAATGATATGGCCCTCAGTTGCTCTGGGCAAACGGTATGACAATGCAGCTTTTCATCCTTTCTTTCATTTGGTTGTTATAACAACCTTCTCAGGCAGGTGTTATGATCTTGGTTTTCTAGATGAGAACATTGAGGGAGATAAGGTCAGGCAACTGAACCGAAGTCATTCAGGTCCATTATCTATCACCCGGAAGCTGTGCAACATTTAGAAAGACACACCATTCTGTTCCTCATTTCTAACATCAGGGGGCTAGACTAGTTGTTCTGAGCTCTAAAGCTACCATAAACTGGGTGACCTAAGACAGAAGAATTAGTTCTGAGGGCTTTAAGTCTGAAGCCAAGGTGCTGACAGGGCCACACTTCCTGCAAAGTCTCCAGGGGAGAATCTTTCCTTGCCTCTTCCAGATTTTGGTGGCTCCAGGTTTTCTTTGGCTTGTGGCTGTCTTGCTCCAAGCTCTGCCTCTGTCTTCAAATGATGTTCTTTCTCCTCCTCTACTGGTCTGCACCTCTTCTGTCACTTCTAAGACATTTACTGGGCTTATAGTCCACCTCAATTATTCATGGTGATCTCAAGTTCCTTTATGATACCTGAAGACTCTTTTTCTAATAAGGCTGATTCCTAGGTTCTGGTTTCAAGGCCCTCTAATAACTCCAGCCATCCATACAGTGTTGCACCTCTTTGCCCTGCATTGGGAAGGATGTAGGCAGTGAGACAGGAATCTGAGAGACATTGTATAGGAAAGAAAGCACCTGTTTGTACCATTTCTGACTATAGCCACTCAGTTCCATGGATGTCTCAAAGTTCCAGTCTCCCCATCCACTTACCAGACAATGCTTTTGCCTTCCTATCCCAGTGCAGAGTTTCTTACAAAAGGGATCCCTAGCACTGCCAAAACATGTAGCCCATCCCAAAGCTCTCCATTGGTTTTCAGTTCTATTTCCTGGTGTGCTGTCCCTTCACAAATAAACCAAGTTATCATTCAGAAAGTGCCTGCTGATATCCTCAAATTTGCATACCCCAGATGAGGCTGCAAAGCCATTTATCTCTCAAGAGCAGCCTGCTGTGGTCTCTTTTATTTTTTTATGGGATTGTCCTTAACTGGCTGATTAGTTTGAGGTGATTTATAAATGCTTCTAGCCTGGCAATACCCCCCGCCATGATTGGACAGATTTGTGCCTGGCTTTAAGCAGCCTTGGTTTTTGTTGTTTTAGTGCATCTGCCTCCTTCGCCGCTCCATCCCTGCCCATCCCACTGAGGCTTCACTTTCTTCCAGGCTACCTCAGCTTAATCCTTCACCAAGTTTTCCTGTGGTTTAACTTTGCATATCTTTGCTTTTTTTTTTTTTTTTTAAGGAAGACAAGTCAGCGCGGGCAAATAGTTTTTTCTTCTACATTCCCTTCTTCAGAAACAAGAGATAGTTGTGCTGACCTTGGACCAATTCTTTATCCTTTGTGGGCCTGGCTTTTCTCATTTAAAGATAGGGAAAGTGATACCGATCTAACTTCAGCTGGGAAAGAATTAGCTAATGCTAGGAGACGTCTTCGCTCGACTCTGTTCATAGCCCTTTATAAATGGCTGATGTGCTTATGGTTTTCATGCTCTAGTGGGAGGCAAACGTGAAAGGTGGA